CTCTTTCATACATTTATTAAACAAAAGTACCAACCACTCCAACACTATATCCCCCCCTGCTTTTAACATTTCTGTCATGATCCCATCAGTTCCAGCTGCTTTGCCCCCTTTCATTCTACGTAATGCCTCGCATACCTCCCCCACACTTACATTCTGCTCTTCTTCACTCCTAAAAGATGGTATACCTCCCTGACCAGTGCATGAAATTACCGTCTTCCTTTCTTCCTCAACATTTAAAAGTTCCTCAAAATATTCTCGCCATTTACCTAATACCTCCCTCTCCCCATCTACTAACTCCCCTACTCTGTTTTTAACTGACAAATCCATACTTTCCCTAGGCTTTCTTAACTTGTTTAACTCATTCCAAAATTTTTTCTTATTTTCATTAAAATTTCTTGACAGTGCCTCTCCCACTCTATCACATGCTCTCCTTTTGCACTCTCTCACCACTCTCTTCACCTTTCTTTTACTCTCCATATACTCTGCTCTTCTTATAACACTTCTGCTTTGTAAAAACCTCTCATAAGCTACCTTTTTCTCTTTTATCACACCCTTTACTTCATCATTCCACCAATCACTCTTCCTTCCACCTGCCCCCACCCTCCTATAACCACATACTTCTGCCCCACTTTCTAATACTGCATTTTTAAAACTATTCCAACCCTCTTCAACCCCCCCACTACTTATCTTTGCACTAGCCCACCTTTCTGCCAATAGTCGCTTATATCTCCCCCGAACTTCCTCCTCCCTTAGTTTATACACTTTCTCCTCCCTCTTACTTGTTGTTGCCACCTTCCTCTTTTCCCATCTACCTCTTAATCTAACTGTAGCTACAACTAAATAATGATCCGATATATCAGTTGCCCCTCTATAAACATGTACATCCTGGAGCCTACCCATCAACCTTTTATCCACCAATACATAATCTAACAAACTACTTTCATACATGCTACATCATACCTTGTATATTTATTTATCCTCTTTTTCATAAAATATGTATTACTTATTACCAGATCTCTTTTTACACATAGCTCAATTAAAGGCTCCCCATTTACATTTACCCTTGGCACCCAAATTTACCTACTACTCCCTCCATAACATTTTTACCCACTTTAGCATTGAAATCCCCAACCACCATTACTCTCAGCTAGAGGAGCTGCTATTGAAGAAAAATTAGCAATGAAAGACCTATAAAAACCTGCTAGACCCTCAAAGGATCTCACGGCATCAGCAGTTTTGAGGGATGGAAAATTTAGTACTGCCGTTACTTTACTTTGATCAGTCGTAACCCCTCTAGCAGTGACTACGTGACCCAGAAACTTAATTTCTGATCTGAAAAATTGGCATTTGGACAGTTTGATCTTTAAATTGGCTTCTTCAAGCTTACCAAGTACTTCATCAAGTCTTTTCAAATGTGTATCCACATCTTCGGACATGACGATTATGTCATCTAAGTACACCATAAGTGCTTTACCTATGAGACCTCTAAAGATATTGGTCATGAGCCTAGAGAATGTGATGGGGGACGATCGTAATCCAAAGGCCATACGGAGGAAGCGATAATGACCTGTGGGAATGAAGAATGCGGTTAACTCTTGGCTGTCCTCGTGAAGAGGGACTTGCCAAAATCCTTGTAACAAATCCAGGGTCGAGAAGACTTTGTTATCTCCGATGTTACGTAAAAGATCACCAAGTACAGGAAGTGGGAAGCGATCTGGAATAGTTTTCGCATTTAACTTCCTAAAGTCAATCATTGGGCGCCAAGTACCGTCCTTCTTAGGAACTAGGATCAAGGGTGAATTGCTAGGTGCAATAACTCCATCATCGAGCATCTGATTGATCAATTCTTCTGCGACAGCAACTTGGGAATGAGGCATTCTGTACGCAGGTATATAGATAGGTCTAGTACCAGGTTCAAGGAGAATACAATGGGATAATAAGTTCATTATACCCATCTTCTCACCTGGTAAGGCAATGGCTTTACGACGTTTGTTCAACAGAGTCAACAAACCCTTGACCTCGTTTGGGAAGTCAGTGGGAGCTAAGTCTTTCTCCTCAACTGGTGGGATGGATTGATCCAGTGGAATGAATGAGGTCTCCCCTGTTGAAATAGCACCGACCCATTGGTCAGGTGGCAAGTCATCCTGTACTTGAACAGGGTAAGGATAGTGAACCAGGTCAACAAGATTGGTATTTGCTCTGAGACGAACACTGTGACCAGAAGTGTTAACAAGGAATAAATGGATCCTTTATTCCAGAATAAACAACCTACTGGAAGGCTAGCCAGATGGACCTTGACTATCCAAGAGTTCAATCCTACTTTTGAACATTTACCTGGCAAATCCAGTGTAGTCGCAGATGCTTTATCACGACGTTTTAGTATAGTAACTACAGACCCTCCATTTACTTCCGAGGATGTAAAGAATGCCCAAAGAACAGATCCCATGTGGTCTGGTGTGATTCGATTCCTGCTCCAGGAAGATCTTATTCTGACTGTGAAGCCACCAACGCCCATTAGTGACTTTGTAATGAGCCAAGAATTACTGTATCGAACAGCTGAGTTGGGTACTTCAAGCAGAAGAGTATACCAGTTAGTAATTCCACAGTCACTAGTGAATGTAGCTCTACAGCTAGTTCATGATGCACCAGGTGTTGCACACCCTGGTATGGATCGTTCTGTGAAACAAGCCAGAATGAAATACTTTTGGCCACGTATGGCAACTGACATTTCCGAGTATGTTAAGAAATGTAGTGTCTGTATGCAGCATGAAGGAAATGTCAGTGGTCCTAATCCAATCCAGGTGTATCCAACTACTAGTGAACTGTGGGAAAGAGTTGCGCTAGATTTGTTAACCAATTTTAAATGTTCCCTCCAAGGCAGCAAACATCTGTGTGTTATGGTAGACCATTTCACCAGATATTGTGAGTTAGTTCCTATTGCAGATAAGACTGCTGAGACAGTAGCTAAAGCATTTAAAGAACACATTATCTGCAGGCATACCACCCCTAAGTCCTTAGTAACAGATAAGGAGGTGAATTCTGTAATGAGATTCTTGAAAATTTGTGTATCTTGTACAAGATCTCTAAATCCACCGTTGTTTCTCACCATCCTGCGAGTAATGGTTTGGCAGAACGTACAAATAAGAAAGTACATGTACTAGATGTTTTGAGAGCCCCTATCAACCCCAGTAGTGAAACTTGGGATGAAGTTATACCAGATGTTCAATGTGCCATAAATTCTCCTTACAATGCTTCCATAGGTGACACTCCACCTTATGCATTGTACGGTGTAGACAAGTGTTTACCCTATGAGTTGTTATATTCCACGCCGAAACCCAATTACAACCCTGATGATTTCATAGCAACTCGTACCAGCATAGTTCAAAGTGTTTTTAGAAGAATCCGTGAAACACTTCATAAATCAACAGCAGAATTTACTAGAGTAACTAATAGCTGTGCTAAGCCAACAAAAGTTAAAGTGGGTTCGAGAGTAATGCTGACTAATTTCAGTAAAACATCCGCAATGCCTAAGCTCAATCAAAAGCTCGTTGGCCCTTATCGAGTAGTTGAACATATCAGTGGCAGTAAGTATAAGGTTAGAGAAATTAGTACTGGTCAGTATAAGGAATTGCATTTAGATCATATGAAATTAGTATGCGATGTCAAGGATGATAATTCTACCCAGACTAATGTGTCAGCCGCTGACAATCCTCCTGACTCTGTACCCTCTACCTCTAATACTCAGCCAGATAATCAACCCGAATGTTGTTGTTCTTCGCGTACTCGACAAGTAATGAGAAACCCACAAGTATTTTTTGTAGATATTCGTTCAGATCTCCCTCAGTCAAGGCATGTGTTAGCCATTGCAAAGGAATTCGATCCTCCCAAAGATGATAACCATTCTGCATATGTAAATCTTACCCTTTAAATGTACATAGTCTATATAATTAGATGTCCAAGATGAATGAAGTTGTCAACTGCGTGTTTTGTTATCAGCTGATCAGTTTTCAGAAAAAAAAATTTGTGTTCACGTTCCCTCCAAATTCTGAGAATTTAGCAGTAATGATCTGTGCGTGCCAGATTTGCCTTGCTGTTAATTTACTTTCACCTTTGTAAATATATATTTATTCTTCCTCAGAATCCGTAGAGTGCATGAATACAGATTGATTGATCAATCCCATCCTTTATTATACCATGATTTGTTCTTATAATTTGTAATGCATTACGTTAAAACTCGTTACGTTAAAACCCATTATGTTAACACCCATTATGATACCATCCATTAGTTCTAAGTTACATATGTCTTTGTTATTGTATAAAATCAGCCCAGAGCCACCTACCTGTTCAGCCTATAGCATAGTATTGTATGTCGAGGCGACATACATAACATGACCGAGCTGTCAGCATAGTTGCTGATCCCCTACATGTGTTGTATAGCTTATCTGAGTATCATAGTTAGCACCATTCATATGTTTTACATACACGACCCCTTTGCTAGGCCTAGTGACTAGTTTGTATGACGTCACGTGATGTGGCATGAGTGCGTGGGACACGCTACATAGGCTCAGTCCAAGCTTAGGTCTACAACAGGCAACAGGGCAGTTTGGGCTCCCTCCTTACACACTCGGCAATATAGTGTTACCATCCAACAAGTGTGTTTGTCTCCAACCTTCATATCTCCTACGAACCCCCACGACATATATATATATATATACACATGTATGTGCGTATGTATGTATGTATATAAATATGTGTGTGTGTGTGTTTTAAATTGCAACACTATCAGCACTCAGTTTCAGGGGTTGCAACAGTGTAAGTGCTAAGTTGAGTAACCAGGAATGCAACTTGCTAGTAAGCTGTCCCTTCGTGTGTATATATTTATTTAGTGAGTGAATATGTGTTGTTCAGTATGAAGCTTGGTGAGTCTATCATTATAAATTTATTTTTAATCTAACCAAATACAAGATGCATAATCACTTACACTTTTTAATTTCTTTCAGGTTCCAGAGACTATAGCATCTCTCCTCAAGGCAGGAATCCATGTATGGGTCCTCACTGGAGACAAGCAGGAGACCGCTATTAATATTGGTCACTCATGCCACCTCTTGAACCAAGGCATGCCTCTCCTTATACTCAACACTGAGTCATTAGATGTGAGTATTGTCATGCCTCTCCTTATACTAAAGGATGAATAATTTTCATATGAATTTTACAGGCCAAGAGCTATTAGCTTCTTTCATCATGCTTCTAAGCCTATTCCTATCTAAAGTACGGTGGAACTCCGGTTTTCGTATGGTCTGAATATCGTGCAATTCTGATTTAGAACTCTTTTTGGGTGAAATTTTGGTCCAGATTTCGTACCTTCATCCGGAAATTGTACATATTAGATGCGTCCGCCCGCCTGGGATGCCACCAATCTCATGCATACGTGTCTCAGTCTGGCTCTGTCACTGGTTGAGTGAGTATTCATCTGAAACATTTCACAATTTTTGTACTTGTTTATTGATTATGACTGAAATAAGCCACCATGGACCCAAAGAAAGTTCCTAGTGCCAGCCCTTTGGTAAAGAAGGTGAGAAACACGATAGAATTCAATAAAGAGATTGTAGAAAAGTACGAAAGTGGTGTATGTTTAGCCGAGCTTGCCAGGATGTACGGGAAGTCGAAATCAATAATCTGTTCCATCCTGTGTGATGAATGGTTTGAAAAAACGACAAGTTGAAGATTGAGACACTTATGCAATATATGGGAATCTTTATTCAGGAAACATTTCACCACACAGTGGCTTCACCAGTCCAATACAAAGTAGAAAGGCGTAAGGAGAGGAGGAGTTTGAGGTAATCAGTCCCTCAGCCTGGAGTCGATGTGTTCAGTCCATCAATCTTGTAGAATGTACAGCATAGGGCCGTAAACGTGGCTTATATACTGTAGTGAGGTGAGGCAAAGCAGAAGGAGGTGGGGTCATAGTGGTATCATTCACTAGTCGAAGTAGGTCTTCGTCCAAAGGTTGGACAAGTGTTGAAGAATTCATTGTAACAAGATCCCATGATGCTGCAGTGTCTGACAGTTGTGATGAATGGTTTGAAAAACCAACAAGTTGAAGATTGAGACACTTATGCAACATATGGGAATCTTTATTCAGGAAACGTTTTGCCACACAGTGGCTTCATCAGTCCAATACAAAGTAGAAAGGCATAAGGAGAGGAGGAGTTTGAGGTAATCAGTCCCTCAGCCTGGGGTCGATGTGTTCAGTCCTCCTCTCCTTACGCCTTTCTACTTTGTATTGGACTGATGAAGCCACTGTGTGGCGAAACGTTTCCTGAATAAAGATTCCCATATATTGCATAAGTGTCTCAATCTTTAACTGTTCCATCCTGGCAAAGAAAGTAGAAATCAAGGAAGCTAAAGTTGCAAAAGGGGCAAATATGCTAATGAAACAGAGATCACAAACAGTCGAAGATGTGGAGAAGTTGTTGTTGGTGTGGATCAACGAAAAACAGCAGGAGATAGTGTTAGAGTTGATCATTTGCAAAAAGGCAAGGCAGTTGCATGCGGATCTCGTAAAGAAAATGCCTGGGAGGAGTGCTGCTGTCTTCAATAAAGGTATGTAATGTTCCTTTATCGTTAAAATTAATCATTTATATTTATTTCTCACTGTTTTCTGTATGTAAAACTATAGTTATTCTTTAAAAAATGTATTTTTTGTTAATATTTTTAGGTGTCTGGAACGGATTAATTGTATTTACATTAATTCTTGTGGGAAATATTACTTCAGTTTTCAGCCTTTTCGGATTTAGGCCGACCTTCTGGAATGGATTACAGCCGAAATCCGGGGTTCCACTGCACCTTTATTTCTCTTTTTTATTTTAATTTGTATAATTTTTATGTTCTGATAATTACAATTTATATTAGTTCTTGTGATTTCATAGCCAATCTTTGTTCTGACACTAAGATACTGAAATAGTACACAAAGTGTCCAATCACATGACAGGTAAATTTTCACCTGCCTTATTACGTTGTAGAAATATAACAAAGTATTTATAGTCTCAGCATGCTTTAGCTCTGATGTAAAACTACATCGACTTACACAATGTTGGTTATGACAAGGTGTAAGTCGAATGGAGTAAGTTGCAACTTGAAAACTTGACGGACAATGTACTGCATAATGTCAAGAAGCTTTGTGGGATATAAACACCTACGGATATGGTAGTTACATGCTAAGTCAATGCATTGTTCATTCTCTCTTTTTACATAATTTGATTCTATGTTTGTAATTAATATTATTTATTATCTTATATAATTATACATATGTTATGTTACTGTATCTATGTAAAAATTTTACATCTGCATACTTTACATATGTTCTATTATCTAAGTATTTTCGGTCCTAGAAGATTAATCTGGTAGTTCATCTCGAA